AAGTATGGGGCGGCGGGTTTTCGGGAGACGCTGCCGACTACTCCGATGCATGGGGCGGCAGCATTCGGGAAGAGGCCACTGATAGTGCCAAAGCATGTGGCAGTAACAGTCCAGGAAACGCTGCTACCTATGCAAAAGCATGCGGCCGCGTTCTTTCGGCAGAGGAGGCCAAAATACTTGCCGAATTCTATCAATTAATTATTTGTTTAGTGTTGTTTTCGTTCTTTGTTCCTTGGAAGCGTTTGAAGACCAGCTGGATGAGGGGGAGGGAACTAAGAAAGAGGGGAGCAGCTTCTAAAAGGGCGGGATGGAGCGACGATAATACTCTGGGTAGCTTGAGAGGGGGGATCGGGTATGCGGTTGCTAATGTTAGCTGGGGCGTGGAGAAGACGCGTGCTGACGTCAGCAAGAGTCGAGCCACAGAAGCAGCGCACGTGTACGAGTTTGACTTCGATGGAAACAGGCTTCTTACAGTGGTCAAGATTCAGGTGGGTTAAAAGGTCTTCCTTCTACGTCGCACCCTCTACCTTTGCAACACACTTCAAGCAAGCAGATCGCGGAGGGAAGCGTCGCTGCAAAGCTCGTCAATATTCTGAAACAAGCTTGCGCCCTCCAATGATTCTCGAACTGAAAGTTTGTATGGGATGAGGGCTTTGCAATCACGTTTGAGGATCGTTTTCGCTGGTGGATTTGGTGAGGGAAGAGACCATTCAATCATCACCCGTGTGTTCTCGCGGTTTTCAAACATTCGCTCACAATGGCGACGTGACCTCCTCACTGGGGGTCGATTTGCGTACAGGTTGCTCTGGTGGGCCAGGCCAAGTCCGTACAGGTGCAAATGGATAAGCTATGCGAGGAAGCGGATACAAGTTCTAAGGAGGGGCTGCATAACCTCTTGACAGGTAAGCTTGACTTAACTGCGGCGCACCCCAGATCAAGGAAGCAAGGTCTCAACTAAAGTTTTGTGACTGCAGCATACAATCAGAAGGAATTCCAGCAGCCTATCATGTATCGAGGGAATCCAGTGTCTTCTATGTTGGAGCATCAAGTTGCTCGAGCCGCGTTGCTTGGTCTGCCACGAAGCATCAGACACCGCTTGCACGACTTGACTCGAATGGATCGGAGTCTGGCTTGTGCATGATTTTCGGTGCCCACGTCGGATTTCCTTTCTATTCCTTTCGTCTTAGTTCAATCAATTTGTGTGCGGGCTCTCAGGCTCCGCTGTACGCTCTACGTCTGAATGAAACAGCTGAGTGCCTCAACTAGCTAGTCGAGGTTCCTGACGTCTTTTTTGGGGGGGGCTCTGCGAAGCCAGGATGCTGACCTGTGAGCCATTCTTCTCGCAGAGATTTTGCTGGTAATCCTGCGCCACTCCACCGACTGGGCGTACGGGACCGCTCAGGTCGGATCTCAGAACTCCTAGTTCGAAGCAGTTTTCTCAAGTTACTTTCTGCGTAGATCAGGAGGGCTTTGGAAAGGACCTTGCCACGTACATGTCTCCATCGGACTATCCTCGTAAGGCACCATAGATGGTGCCTTACGATTCTATCAGCTTGAAAAAGTTCCATGTCACAGAACTTGCATTTCTCTTACAAAAGTGCAGCACGTGACAGGGTCCGCTTTAACCGATCCTTGTGATGTATGATTAACGACGCTCCCTTCTTGTGCAGATGAACGCTCTGGGTTATGATTCCGCTGAGAAAAAGTATCAGCGAACGGTGTTGGTAAGTCGAAGGCCTACATCCCTCGCTCGTTTGAAAGCGGACATTCTTTCCCTGCCGGCTTCTCGGCAGACCCTTGCTACCGCCCCAACTCGGAAATTGCTAGCACGTGTCCGTTTGCGGGTTCGGTGCTGTAGCAAGGGGACTGATCGAACTTTGATGAGTTGATTGACCTGTGAGTGACGCCTGCAGGAGGAGCGGTCCAAGGCGAAGCAGGAGACGCTGATCAATGCGGGTGGCAAACTGACGCCGAAGACGCCGTCCATCCGACCTCCAAACGATGACCAGCCGCCCAACGAGTTCGTCGTCGTGAGGGCCCAGCCGCAATCATATCCGCTCGGTTCATAGATTGGCACCATAAGCTTAATAACGAGTCTCAAGCGGAGTGTTTTTCAAGGATGGGTCGCTCTTTGATTGCAACTTGATTCCAACACCCCTTTGCTTGTGCCAAACAGTGCGGTAGTCACGCCAACGTCGACGGCCTTTAATGCAGACGTTTTGTTCCAGAAATTTTTAAAGAACGAATTTGCGCTTGCAGACTCTTCTCAAGGATGGGCCGGCTAAGACGGCTTTCGTTTATGTCTATTGCATCAACCCTCGCTGAAACACAGACACGTGCAAGCGTTATAATCCAAAGATTCATCTGGTCCAGGTCACCGTCTTGGCTGCCATCAAGGGCCGTCTCCAAACGCCCGATGGCGCAAGCCACGTCTCCACACCCCAAAGCCTCAAAATTGCGTTGCAGGCGCTGAGCGAGGTGCAGGCAAAGGATCTCGAGGTGAGCGCGCGCGCGCTCTTTGCCGTCGAGATAGTCACTTTTACTCCCTGCGTTTGGGACGATCCGCTTTGCGGGCGGTTAGAGATTTCTTCGGCGTGCTTCCGCGCCGCATGAGAGGGTTAATGGTCACACAGGAAGGTTCAAGAATTCGTTTTATTCATTCATTTACCACTCAGCATTTGCGTGCCTGAAGGCTGAAGGAGCAGGGCGTCGGCAGCCCGTTTGCTGATGGAAGCTGTGAGACCACGAATCGTTTCATCTTCGCTTCGGTTACAGCAACGATTCCGATTTGGACCCGGGCTCTTTCGATTAAAAAATTCGAAGCTGAACAGCACTCCTCGAGTCCCGGGAACTCGATTTTGTGACTTGATAATAACAATGTCAAAAGGTGGGCAACTGGGCGTTTCCTTCAAACAGAAAGAGATGACCGAAGGTCCCGATTAGTGTTCCTTACTTACAGCCAAAGACAAACAGACTTCAAGATAGCAACGGCAACAATTTAGCCCTGTTGATTCTGCCTGGCAGGTGCTCGACATTCTGTGGGTGCCTCAGGAAGATGACGACACGCTGACGCATGAAGAGCTCATTGAGAACTTTACCGATTTGTCTCCCGTGTGATCTTTTCTGGTCGCGAATTGTTGTGGGTCGTTTGGTGGTGGGAATCTTTGAAGACATTGAGCAGTGTCGAAGACAATGCATTTTGGCTTCTAGTAATCTTTTCTAGCCTCTGTGAAAAGATTTTAAAGTAGGACGGCTCGAGGAAAATAAAGTATGGTCTCGTGACGGAACAATTTATGTCCGTATCTGTCTATGACTATCTAGCTAGGCCTGTCTTCGTCGAAGTTGGTAAAGGCCTGTTGCTGGATTGTACTATATAAATTGTGTTGAGAAAGTCTCAGGGTCGTTTCTTGAAGGGACGGAGTGTCCGCAGGGAAGTTGCCCAACGATAGATTCAACGAACCGTTGAAGAACTCAAAGTTCCAGTAAAAGATGCCTGATAATCTGCTGCAAGAAAGCCAGATTGACAGGTTGCCTACTAGGAAACACGAGCCTTTATAATAACTCTCAATATCTAGAGAATGTGTGCTGGGAACAACTCGGACAAAGTGCTCGACTGCAAAATCCTTGAGATCAATCCTCTGTCGTGATTTAGCAGTACGTTGTTTGACTTTGCGTCACTATTTTCGCCTTATCTCAAGCGCGTAGGATTTATGGTTTCAATTCCCTTATTGCAATCTGCGCCGCAAGCTCCTATACCGCTTGCCTGATTACATTCAAAAGATACGCGAGAATGCGCGAGATGGAACCTCGTCTATGCCTACTCGGTGCACGACTGATTATGAAGGCGTCTTATTGCTGCTCTTTTTCTGATCACGTACAAATATGCATCTCATGATATTCTGACCTTCGTGCTTCTTGTCCGCACGAGACCCAAGGTTTGTGGGCTGTTGACCTGCTCAAGATACGTCTAGTAATCGTTAAAGAATGTCCCATAGAAGCATGCATCTGGCGGAGTGGCCGCTCGGCGCCCCCGCTCCGGCGAGCGCGCCCGCGCGCACCACCGCGCTCCCGGCCGCCCGCAAACGCAACCATCTTGGGTGGCGCGACAGGTGGCCGGCTTATGACAGGACAGAAAAACCAGATGGTACTGCCCGTCTCATAGGTATAAGGTCGTGGGCTAAGCCGCTCTCTTTAAGCAGCAGCAGTCGCCAGTAGATGTCATTATTTGAAGGCGCGCCAAATAAAACATAGACCGCTTTCTTCTGGTTCATGCCCTCTTGAAGGTCAAAAGGCGTCTGTGATTACGCTTTTCAACCAATTACCTGAAGTAAGACGTATTGTTGCTAAATGGTCTAAATCGGCTCTAGATCTCTCAATTGGCTGAATAAGATTCTGTTAATCTGCAAGACAAAGCAGCGTTAGGATGGCGGGCAGACAGCGTTGTCATGGGCCACCAGTCCTTCAACTGCACCATCCTCTTGCGGAGTAGTAGAGCCGCTAAGACCTCAGGGGATTGTTATTCTGCGCAGACACAGCCTTTGGGGGTCAGCTTTGGCCCATCGTCTCGCTGGTTTCCCGCCCGCAACTTCTCAGGCCTGAGGTTTCGCGATTTGGAAGCTTCTAGGGTGCCGTTAGGGGGCCTCTTTGCAAGGGAGAGCGTCCCAGAACGAGCCATGATGGCGGTGGATGTGACAGCAGCCTCTAGATTAAGAACGCAGAGAGCTTTGATCCCAGTCGAAGAGAGAAACGCTGCTTTCCGAAACGATTAGGGGCAACTTTGCTGATCAACCACGACCGAAACTGCCGACCTCAAGGAGCGCGGCGTCACAGGATTGCTCGGAGTGCCGCATCAGGCCCGCAAGGGGGTGCAGGAATGGCTCCAAACGCAACCCAGACACTTAAGAAAGAGATATTGGAGATCCTGGGAGCACCAAAGAAGAGGGATTACGCCTGTCCTGTCAAGACGGGCACGCTGGCAGCACAGAAGGCCCCACTTAAGAAGAAAGAACCTGCTACTCTGAAGGGCATGTCTTGTGCGCCCACTTCCCTGCAGGCACATCTATTGGGTCCCTTAGTCAGGCCGGAGAAAAGATACAGCAAACCTCAGAAAGCCGGACTCCCACTGCCCCGGTTCGTGAAAGTATTCGCGGCTCTGGTGGTTGCCCTTGCTCTTGCTCTTTGCTTCCCACCCCCTGCGACAGGTCTTGTCAAAGGGAGGCACACCGTTGCCAGCATAAAGGAGTTAAGTCACCATCGATCACGGAGCTCAGGTACCGGAGGAGCAGCCATAAGGTAAGTCGATTAGAAACCATACAGAGATGCGAAAGTGGTCACATCAAGCAAGAAGTCGTTCAGAGCTAGAGCTGGCTTCAACGATTGCCACCCTATACCATACGTTCTCTGAGTTCGTTGGTGACTCTGCGATTACCCTTCCACTCTTCAGGTACAAATTCGTTTGACAGCGCAGCTTTAGAGGGTCCGGGACCAGATCGATTCTAGGTCGTTGCATAGCACACATCAACTCTAAAAATAAAATGCTCTCGTTAGCGAGCTTGAAGAAGCCAGGAGTTTGTGGACCTGAATAAGGGCGAAGTCTTCAAGTCCATCCTGCAAACCCCCAGAGAACATCTCATCACCCACTTTCTCAGTGCCCAGAGGTATATAAATTGACAGCTTTGCGATTGCGATGCTGCAAGCTCCTGAAGAGCAAAGGCCGTCCAGGAGCAACTCCTGGCGTGGCTGTCTGCCTATCCGCACTCGAAAGGTGTACCACAGACTTGCTTTGCAACAAAGCATCAAGTTTTCTCTTCTGGGTGCAGGTACGCCTCTGCTCAAGGCTCTCAGCAGGGGTCGCCACTGCCGAGCAGACACAAGCAGAAACCGCGCACCTCCGAAGAGGAGCTTATCGAGGGGGGCGGGGCAACAGTGGGCCGCCGGGTCGTTTCAAAAGCGGGGAAGGGCGCAAGATCTTTCACGGCGGTTGTGCTATCTACCGCTGTAACGAACATCCATGGCAAGATAATCGGGGCAGCTGTTCAAATCATCCGCCTCTTATCTGGGCTTCTCTTAGCCTTCGCTTTGGCCTACGTCCTTACAACGGGCTTGAAAAATGCGTGGCGTTGGCTCGTGGCAGCGAATTACGGCGTCACGTACAGGCCGTCGTCCCCGATGGGCGACCAGGTCACCCTTGTCAAGGTCCAGGTAGTCGCTCAAATCTTGCTCGCTGGTTCCATCGCAGTGTAATCTAGTCGAGATGCAATAGCTTTTGTTTGGCCTCTCGAGAAAGTGATAAAACCTCGCGCTTTGTTGACAATGGTTTTCGTCGATGCTGTGTCACTGCGGCAAACTTTGAAGTCTTGGAGCTAGCTGACCTACAAAGCATCGCTAGGTACCTGAGTATTGCCTGTGTATCTCTGCCTTCTGACCTGCTGCCGTCCCGTTGGTCAATGAATCTACATCGTGACTGCAGATCCGAACGCTTTGATGCAGGTGGCGTTTTCTGGAAGTGCGGCACAGTCATTTGATGTGAGAATGGACAAATATCTGAGAAGCTCAGGGTCCAAGCTTGGGGATCCAGCGAGCAGACAAGGAATGCGGAGAATCTCGAACGGTGAGAGCTTCCCTCATGCCGCTTTTTAGCAGATGATCCTTCTCTGCAAGATGTCCCGGCCCCCAAGGAATGTCCCAGCAGGACTCGATGTCTTTTCAGCATGCGGGTTAAAATTTCACTGGTTTTTGAACCGTATGTTTCTGATGATTGTAACGTCCCGACGTCCTGGAACTTTGCGTTCTGATGCGCTCGTATCGACTTGTTGGGGTCACGTCGAGGTTGTTGACAAATCATCTTTGTGATTCCGTGCCAACTTAAGCTCGAGGTTTGCCACACGACTACCGAAGTTCGCGGCGCATGTCTACAGGACACCCTCTGAATAATCTCGTTCTCGACTTTGCAGGGACCTTGAGTTCCATTCTGTTGGATTATCGGTCTGACTGGGAATCTCCAAATGGCCAGGTGAAACAGTAATCTCCTGTGGAAGTCTTTTCGAGCTTGTTGATTCTTTAGCAGCGGGTCTCCTTACGACGCTGATATCGAATCGTGGTCTGCATTCCTGCCGATACATGGCGTTTTGCAGAGCCCAACGTTCATCGTGATGTTATTCACGGTGTCTGCTGATTTTGCGACTTCGTACTCGTCCCTTCATACCCTTCAGGACTGGATGTCGAGATCGACTTCAGCGAACCGCGCACGCTGTCTCCTGTTGAAAAAGGCACAGACTTGATTGTACCCATAACATGAGGATGATTTGTAGTCAGATTTGTTGATTGTTGTTTTCTTCAGGATTCTTATCTCGTCTTGACCGCAGATGATTCTCATGGAGCGCGAGGAGGCAAATAGAGAGTTGCAGGGTTGGGCCATGCTGGTAAGGCAGCCTTGTGTTCATCGGCTTCTACTGTTCGTTGAGTTGTTCAGGAGGCGCCTCGCCATGTTTCTTATTGTCGAATCAACAATAATCTGAGCCTGAATGAAGGCGACGCACGGTGCTAAACCTGCTCTGAACGGGCCTTCAAAACGACCCAGTCTGGCTAGTACGCTAGCTAATGCTTGCCGCCGAGTATTACTAACATGTTTCATCTTCGTGAGACAGGTTATCTGCTTTCACGCAGTCCGAGGTTATGAACCACCCAACATGACGGACCAGAAGAGTCCCTTATGGAATCGATGGTTCTTAGTTTTGTTTCTAGCCGTGCTCGAGAGTAGCGTAACGATGATATCAGCTTTTGCAACGCTCAAAGCTGCTGAACTGCAGGAGGCTCAGAACTCCAAGGGACCAGTCGGCCACTTCAGGCTGCCGTTGCGTGCGCTTTACGGGATCAGCGCTCCTGTGCCCAGTTGCTTACTCTTGGTGAGTCGCTGACACTTAGAACTTGATATTGACTTCCTGGGGGCCGGCTGTATACGTACACAGAAGAAGTAGTTCCAGCCTCAACATTGAAGAGGGCAAAGGAGTCTCATGCGGTGCTATCTACCTCAACTTACAGCGTTTCATTTTTGAAAGTCTTTGGAAGCTGAATTGTCGACGTTCTCCAGGGTAAAACGGAAGTCACCTCGCCCACTGCCGCGGTCACGGCGCTATTCAAGCCCTTCATCCGGGCTTGCGCAGGATCACGTGTCTCCGTCAAAAACACGTTTGGCAGCCCTGCAATCCTGACTCGCTTCTGCTAATTTACAGGCTCTTATCACAACCTTGTTTGAACAATCTCACGCACCCGCCTATCTTGTGACCCGTAGGTTACACTCCTGGCAACGGTCGAGGGGTACCTGAATATTCAGAATCACGAAGTCGAAAAGAAGGCCGGGGCAAATCTCGCAGTGGCGCTGCTTCGGACTGCTCGAATAATTCAGAATGAGAATCAGGTGGGGTTTCCGGAATACTTTCTGGAGATTGTGCAAGCAACTGCCCCAGATGCACGTTCTCACCTTTTCAATCACTCTGTACGATTTGGGTGCGGGGTCTCTTTAAATTTACACAGCTCGTTCAGGCCAACAAAAATGAGAAGCGTCCCGGGTATACCTACTCGTCCTTATTCATGTGTTCTTGACAATAGAGTGTCTCGTGACTTCAGACTTTAACGTGGGTCAAATTGAAGTACGTTTGATTCAGGTGTGAAAGCTGTGGAGAGACCAGCTTCTTGTGCAACTGGTTATTGAGTCGTGCTACTTTCAGAGTCCTCCAACATCGCTGCCGTTCGACGACAAGTTGCGAACGGTTGTGCTTAGATGAAGAGGGTTATCCACGTCGCTTGGTACCCACATTCTCAACAATCTCCTCACCTTGCAGGTTTTCCGGTTCACTTTTGTAACCAAGCTGGTTGACGCTTTCAGTGTGGAATTGTCGTTTCCAAAGAGGTGATTCGAACTCGCTCTTGACAGGAGATTGTAACGCCCGTCAACGAAGATGAGATGCTGATTGATTGAGCACAAGTAGAAAAGTATGTGAGATTGGACATGCGCAGAAAGAGACGCTTGACCTTTTGGGAGTCTGTCCATCCCTGCACAAAATGCTACTTTTAGCACCTATCATGCAATCTTCATGGGCAACGAGCTCAGCCATCCCCTACTCAGCCAGCTGATCATGATCTGAGAGCTGCTCCAATCAGCTCAGTGCGCAGCTAGGACAAGGATCAGGACAAGGCACCATGCGTGCAGGCACCTCGCGGTTTGCGGCTGGTCCATTTGCGTGTGGATTTGGTCCATCGATATCACAGCTGCTCATTTCATGACAGAACTTAATGATAGACTGATAACTTTTCTCCAGCATCAAAATGATTTCAGTTGAGAGGAAGAAGCTGTCCGTAGCCGGTAAAGCTATCATCAGCCCGTCCAATTCGGCGACTGGGCAAATGCAGCTGGACAGCCCAGCGTAAGGGAAAAACCCGCCATAGCATCTCACTTCGCGTTTACATGGCCGACGTAGCTCCATACTGCTTACCACCAATCTGCAGAATGTGAATAGGTGACATGCTCACTGTATCGTGGTTCCGGCTTGTGAAGCCAGCTGCCAGTGTGAAGCACGTCACCTGGGTGCCGCTCAACTTCACAGCTACTACGGTGGATGTCATTGGGACGAAGAGAGTCTCAACACGAAGCATGTAGCGCAAAACAGTCTCCCCATGTCTCAGATTGCCTTTTCGCAATAAGCTGGGACATTAACGGCAGGAAGTTGGCAGCTGGAGCTGGCGGTCAGACGTACCACATGAGCATTCATGCTACGAGCTGGCAGATTGCATCAAGGCAAATGTGCATCAGTGAGGCGGCAGCTCAGAGTAGAAATGGAACAGGTGACTTTAACTTCTTAAGAAATATCCGAGTCTGCATGACGAGAGGCCACTGCAGTGTCATGGGGCGAGCATCAGTTTTCAAGGGACCAATTCAGATCACGTACCTACTGTTCTGCCCTACATGACTTTCTTAAAGACTCAGAGAACAACGTTAGATTACGGCGCAGTGTATACCACTGCCGCATACTTGCTAGGATGGCCAGGAGATCGAATCCTGCGTATCTTCTGCTCAAATCAATGCGTGCGCATATGCCGCCTTTTGAAGCTCCTGCCAGACCTTCGACGAAGTTCGGCCGCTGGCCGCAGCAACTTTCATTTGCTAGCCGCGCGCAAGTTGGATTTGGGTCAGGCCACACACCTGAGCCGTGCGATAGCAAGCGCATAGCGCATTCGACGGTTCAGCTTACTTAAAATGCGCGCGCGCTAGAACTTTCTCCTGTTAGGCGGCATGACATTTTCAAGCTGCAGTTGCGGCTAATCAACTACCGCATAGAGAGGTGTACAAGCTGGTGCTATTGTGACAGTCAGCCCCGCAGTCAGCATGAACAATAGCAGCGGTTGAAGTAGTGTTCAGGTCGTACCTGGGACCTGTCGCCAGTGTATGTAGATAGGTAGAGACACTAGGTACCTAGTGGGGACTCAAGTAAAGGGATTTGATTAGTAGATTGTAAACAGCCATAGACGTTGCCAGACGTACATATATACACTGAAGCACCAGGCACAGTGCTACAATTTATCTTCTTTACCTCAGAATCATACCTGGTTGCTACATACTGTATATTTAAGGAGCCTCTGCATAACCTAACCGAGTACTTTAAAAAATCCGTTTGACAGACCCTACAATGTACTACCGTAGTGCACTGTTGGTCTCATCTCTTGATCCACAAAGTCGCTTAACATGTGGGTTTCCCCCTTAACCAAGCTTTGACAGGACAGCGTTCCTTCAGATTGGCAACAGTACTCTGACAAGGCGCATTATTAATTAATCGTTTCACAGGAGGTGCCGCGTAACTTACTGTCAGTGCGGCATGCCTGACTGACTCTGGTGTGCCTTGAGGCGCTAAGCGGCCATGCAGCAATAGACTGTCTCAGCTCATAGTTCATCTTAGCAAACTCAACGCCAAAGGCTTAATTTCTAGTGGCGTCCTTGTCGGAGAACAGTCTCCTCTGAGGCCTATGTTTCAACCTTGGGGGTAAGGGGCAGGATCCTCGCAAACAAAGGGGGATGGCTGCTCAAAGGCACATCCAAGCATTGCCTGATTGGCAGCAGTGATCCCGTATTGGGACCAGCCTGTTAGCAAGCAAAGGTCAGGGCCTTTTCTTTCTAGGCGGGTCATCTGTGCTCTTCTCCTTTTGCTTCATTGTGATCCGTACTGGTCCGACGTTTGAAGGAAGAGCTGGTGATACAGGTATCCGATGGGCATGGATTGCTTGGTAGTAGAATCCTCGGGGTACATTCAGATCGGCACTTTCTGCTCACAGAACAAACCGGCTTCGTCCAAGTTCTGATCGGTTGTCTAAAGAGCAGCACAGCAGGGAGCCGTGTAATCTGCTCCTGATTTCTTGGCTCTAATGTTGACTACTCGACAGAGGAGCCTCTAAGTATGGGTTGCTTGAATCAATCTCCCCATTTCCAACAGGTGGATAGATCACAGGGAGAGTCTTAGCTTTATGGATCCGCAAAAGGCACAGCCTGATAACACATTAAGTTGGATCAGTGCTAGACGTAAACATTGGCATAATGCACACGCAGACGTGAAGATTTTTCTTTTTAGTGGGAATTCAGGCTCTGCTGGCCTCAATAAATATCCTCGGGCAGCCAAGTAAAGCCCCGCTGTCAGCTGGAGAAGCAAAGAACGAAACAAGTTTTCATGGAATCTGCACAAAAGTGACTGCCATCTGACACGACAGCTTCTGGTCTGTGAGGTCGAATGTACTTACAAGAAGCGGCCTGAAGATGCCTTGCTTATGACTGTAAGGGGCTGTGGGGCAGCTGTAACTGGACTGATGCAATGAATCTTAGCAGGCCAGACTTGTATCCACTGAAGAGTAAGGCAGGTCAGCTTGATACAGAACTTGACGAATGGCTTTCCTAACAGTTGGCTAGACAGTGGTCGAAAGAGAAGAAGAGGACCGTCATCGCGTCTTGGTGAAAGGGGAGGCCCCACCGTCTCGGATGCGCGAGACCTCCCATACGTCGCTATGGCGGACACCGAAGGAAGTGTGCGTGGCATCCCGCTTATCCAGATTGCCCCAGATGTGCACACCAAAAATGAGCTCCAAAGCTGCTGTCACCACGAAGAACCTCTCATGCTCGTTTGCAAGGCTCTCGATTGCATTGTTGAGAGGGCTGCTTGCAATAATAGTGCTGCAAATGCGATGGGTAAAAGAGATGCGGCCGCAGCGCCGCTTCGGAAGCAGTTGATACTTCAAGGAAAAGTACCACGGAGGCCGTTGGGATCGCCTATACGAGGAACGGGGGCTGGAAGGAGCTTGGAAAGGGGCTTTGTGAATTGTGACACGTATAACCATTATTTATTGCTCTTTCAGTCCCCAAAAAATTGTTGTAAGGCGGCCGTTGCTGTGCTGTCGTCCCCATGTCTCGTTTGTTTTGCTCGCGCAGTGGCAATGGAGCGCTTTGCATCTGTGTGCGGCACCAACTTCCTTTTGCCCAGCATCGACTTCCGTACTTCTGGTTCCGGGTTCAGGTCAAGCCCGAACGCCGGTACATGGGACCGTTATGGTGCAAAATACGGCCGGGGCAGATCCGGGAAAAGTGAGATTCTTGGCGACGGCGGCCGTCGGAAATTGCGCCGATATGGAGCATCTTTGACACAGGGATTTTGGGTACTTTGTAGGTAACCCGTCGGGTGACTGTGCCATATTCCCGAAAGCTTTGACGTTTCGGAGCGAATTTGCCCGGATTTCCCCTTTTTGGCTGTAAAATGGGGGTCTCAATGCATGACTATAACAGAATCTTGTTGAAACACAGCGTTGTTGGAAGTGATATTCAATCAATCAAATTCATTCAATGTATATGGAGTGTTCCGAGTCACGGCCTATATCTAGATCTACACTCTAGCCTAGTAGGCACAGTGGACCGTCACCTAGTAAGTGCGAAAATTTCACTCTATGCTGTACATCGACGGGTATCAGTGTACCTACACAATATCGACGGTCATCGCCAAGTCATTCGGGTGTAACGCTGTAACCCGCGCGCCTTTAATTGTGTAACCGTAACTACTTACCCTCGAATTACCGTCGACGTCATGATCCTAAAACCCTCGAATCACCCAGAGATTCGGTCCCTCAATGCCCGTATCTTAATACTCCCCCACACACTAATGACTATGCAATTTCTATCTCGCTCTTGCACTTCTTGAACTTCCTCGGTGCTAGCGCCTTGATCATGATGTCCGCCTTCATGTCCTCCGCCCTGCAATACGCGAAC